TTACTCAGTAGGGCCCTGACCTTCCTCGTCACTATCCAACCGAGGTTAGGCTTGGCACTTACTTAGTACCGCTGTGGTGTACGCATGCCCTTTCTGTGCATGTTTTTCATGTGCAGATCCAGGTACTTCTACCCAGGCGTATTATCCGTGAGGCAGGGAGCATTTCGGAGACTTCGAGGTACATCTGCCGCGTCCGCAGACCGAAGAGTCTCCTTCTTTACTCTATCTGTAGTGTTAGCCCTTGTATCGTACTATTGATGTAGACATTTCCGGAGATTAGAGCACTTTACTGAATTCCTTTTAGCTTGTGTTCTCGTGAGTTTTCGGATTTTGGGATAGTAATGTAGGATGTTGTGACGTGGAGTTGTATGTGTCGAGCGGCATTTTATATACTATTTCTCCTTTAAATTGTTCAGTTTTGACTATTATTCCGCAAGTTACTTATGTTTCCGCATTGTTAGGCTTACCTAGTTGTAGAGACTAGGCGGCATCACGACATGTTCACGGTGGGTGAACTGGGGTCGTGACACTGCAGGTACTTCCTGGACAGGTTAGGTAAGCCGGTAGTACTGCATGCGTACAGAGAGCAGAATAGGGTAGCAGATAAACTAGCAAATGTAGGCTGCAATTTTGACATTAACTCAGCAGTACGTATTTTGGAAGACAGCCCGGACTTTGCATGGTTAGTTTTTGAACAAGAAAGGAGTGCAGTGCAAGGACATGTTTTGGAACACTTCAGGCCTCACTCAGATAACTATAATGCTGTAAATGGGTAATGTAATAGTGATGCAGTTGATGGTAGTTTTAATAGTGCGTGTAATATGATGCAGTATGGCATCCACCCTCTGTACGCAATACTTAATATTAATATGTTTATCTTTAAAAAAAAAGAGAGATGTAAAGGCGTTAGCAACATGAAATTTTCTCGTATTAAACTTTCCATGATACAAGACACATGAAATATATATATATATATATATTATAATAATATATATATATATATATATATATATATATATATATAGATAAATATATATATATATATATATATATATATATATATATATATATATATATATATATATATATATAATGTAATGACAGGGCAATAAGCAGTAAAACTGAGAATCAATAATAAAGATCTACATAGTATAATAACAGTGCAATAACGGAAACAGAGATAAAAGCAACTACAAGGAAATACCCCTAACAGCAAGATAAATAATCGGGATCTCTTGGTATCCTCAATATACACTCTAGGGATCTCTTGGTATCCTCAATACATATCCCAGTGATCTCTTGGTATTCCAAGGATCTCTTAGTATCCTCAATATACATGCCAGGGATCTCTTGGTATCCCGCACCTCAATCCAGACCATAATTACGCACAGGGGATCTCCTGGGATGCCGTCCCGTAGTCCCAATTTAAAACACACAACAACAGCTCAAGGACATCAAAACAAATACTAAGTCCGTAATGAGCAAACAGTAAATTCTAGCCTAACATGCTTCACGTAATGCAATTAAGGCAGTTTAAGCAAATAGGCAATTTATTCAACTAATCATACTCTTTTAAACTAACATAGGCTATATTTGCATGTAGAATAAAGCAAGTAAGAAAAGAACTCAGTTTAAGTAGTTAAAGTAAAATCGGATTTTTCAACAATTAGCTCAAGTACGCGCTCGTCACCTCACGTACAAGGCATTCAATTACCAAATATCATATCCTAAGGGGAGAGGGTCCCCCACACAAGGTTAGACAAGCCACTTACCTCGAATCGGCTCCAAAATCAACTCGAAACCACACGTTTGCCACGAGTATCCGACTCCAAATGGCCCAAATCTATTCAATTCAATTACATATCGTAAATAACATCTCAAGCAACTGATTACAATTTAATTCAAAGCTAATACGCGAAATTATGTAAAATGACCAAAATGCCCCTCAGGACAACGTCTCGGAATCGGGTGAAATTTATATTTTCAGAAACCTCGTACTCTCACGAGTCTATACATAATAAGAACACTGAAATCGGAGTCCAAATGACCCCTCAAATCCCCAATTATGGGTCTCTTAAACTCAAGCCCTAGTTACCCCCTTTTCCCAAATTTCTCACCATTAATTAAGCCTTTAATCACATAAAAATGAGTTATGAAGTCAAGGACATTACCTCCAAGTGATTCCCCTTTGATTTCCTCAAAAACCCCTCTCAAAAGCTCCAAACCCGGATGAAAATGGTGGAAGAATAGCCAATTTTCGCAAAGGCAACTATTTATATGATCTGCCCAGCTACTTCCGCGTTTGCGGCCCTGGGACCGCATCTGCGGTCCCGCTTCTGCAGACAAATAGTCGCACCTGCGATTTTTCATTAAATGGCCAAGCTTCCGCATCTGCGATCCTCCACTCGCAGATGGGGTTACGCTTCTACGGAAGATCCACCGCATCTGCGGAACCTGAAGAACCAGCCAAAATCCGCTTCTGCAGGCCTCCTACCGCATCTGCGGGCCTCGCACCGCATCTGCGGTTTCTGAAGGAATGGCCCCAAGCCGCTTCTGTGGTTCTTTAGCCGCTTCTGCGGCACCGCATCTGCGGTTCCCAAGCCGCAGATGCGAAAATACCAGAAGCAGCAATACTCCAGCTGCTGCAACACTTCCTCAACCTTCCCGTCAACCATCCAAAATCATCCCGAGGCCCCCGGGACCTCAACCAAAAGAACCAACAACACCTAATACCTCATTCAATCCTTAAACCATCCACAACAACATCGGACCTCGAATTAATCAAGGATTTAAGCCTAAGAACTCCAAATTTCCTCAAAATATGCTTTCGATCAAAAACCTAACCAAACCACTTCCGAATGACCTGAAATTTTGCACACACATCTTAAATAACATAACAAAGCTACAAAAACTCTCGGAATTCCATTCCGACCCTCAGATCAAAATCTCACTATCGAACCGGAAACATCAAAATTCGAACTTTCGACATTTCAAGCCTAAATTAGCTACGGACCTCCAAAACACATTCCAAATACGCTCCCAACCCCGAAATCACCTAACGAAGCTAACGGAACCATCGGATTTCCGTTCCGAGACCGTCTTCACACTGTTCCGACTATGGACTACCTTCCAACACTTAAGCTCTCATTTAGGGAATAAGTGTCCCAAAACTCTCCGAAACTCAAAACCTAACATCTCGGCAAGTCAAAATAGCAGAAATAAACTTGGAGAAAGCAGTTAATAGGGGATCGGGACGTAAATTCCAAAAACGACCGGCCGGGTCGTTACATGCAGTCAGTAGTCAAATTGTCAAATGAGACATTGTTAGAATAGAGTAGTGTTATAATGTCTTGTGAATCCACTTCCACCTCCAGTGGAACAAGGTTATGTGATTAAGCTAACTGGAGTCCCTGCAATAAAGCATGTAATTCAGCTGAAGTTGATGAATCCCTTGGGACTGGCGCTGCAAAGCCCAACATCCATTCAGCTTCTGAATTTAGTATTAGACCACCAATACCAGCTTTATTTGTTGTATGTGCTCCATCAGTGTTTAGTTTATAGAAAAATTCTTTAGTAGGTTTCCATTTCAGATTTTGTTGCCTTTTTTTAACACAAGTATGTTGATTAGCTACTAGGTATGTAAATTCTGTTGCTTGCTGAGTTATTAATTTAGTAG